AGAACATAATCAGAAATGTGCCCAAAGAAATCCAGCAAAGTTGTTCATTTATAGTGTTTCTTATAATACCCGCCACTCTCCCTTCAGGAGAGAGATAGAGATAGAGCCAGAGTGAGAGGGAAAGGAGACAATTGTCCAAAAATAGGAGCTGGGTGAGGTAAAATTGAGATTTCTCTACAGAATGGAACAACGTGCAGCTACTGAAGCCTATACGTTGACAGAGGAAGACATTTACAATATATCACCATGTCACAGTTTTTGAAATTTACATATGGTGTCATACCCCAACACAAATCTCTATATAAAATTTATAAATCTATGCATAGAAAAGCAACTGGGGAATCTTACATCAAAAAGCAAATAGACTTTAGGGGGTAGAAAATTTTTGTGTGTCTGGGGGGGAATATGTTTTTCACATTCTGCACTGAGCATGTGTTATTTTTATAATTAGATGACATATTTTGATGACATATTATTCTTTAAACAAATTGCTTACATTAGGATTTTATTATTATTATTATTATTATTAAACATCCAGAAACTAAGGCTCCTGCGTCACCTAGGTTCTAGAGGTAAATTTCTAAGTTTGTTTTTCTCCGGAGCTTTTCTACTCAGCAGAAGCACATTTCTTAGTCTCTTTCCCACATAACATATCTAAGCAGGCGGCCCTAACATTTAAGAAAACCACAATACAGGGCTAGGGAGCCCCCTCTGACCCATCCCACTCCCAGGAATCGCTGAGCCAGGCATTTGGGTCAGTTGGGGACCTGCCTGCATCACAGCCGCTATGTACCAAGAGTTCTAAGAGTTTCTCTATTTGTAGATCCCCATTCTGCCATGGATACTCTTTTGAGCTCTCAACTGGACCCTGAGTGTCAAGCTAGAGGGAAATCCCCAGAGCAGTGTGTAAGGACACCACCTCCCTTGCCTGGCTCAGACCGCCACAGGGCCCCCGAAAACCTGCAGAGGGCCTCAGACACCCACCAGGTCTGATCCTCCCCAGGAGTCCTTTACTTGCCCTCAGACACAGCTAAAACCAGCTCTGTGGGCTGATTGTGAAGGTGTCAGGCAACGAGTCTTGTCACATATCTACCCTGATCCTTGACCCCAACAGCAGTAAAGTGCAAATTGCTATTTATTCAAACTGCCATTTGCTTATGTTGAAACCCAGTTGCTGAACCCAGAGATAACAGTCTTTATGGTGGGGAGGAACTTCCTGTCAAGGACAGTTAATTTTAATTTTTCCACTGAGCTCAACCTCAAAGTGAGGTTGATTGCTACTCAGCAAGATGGACTGCATTAGTGGAGGCTTTAACTGAGTGCAGATCTATGTCCCAAAAGCAAAATGTTTGTTGTATACATACTTCGGGACAAGAAGAAAAATGAAAGACAGGTCTTTCTGAGGAAAAATTGAAAGCAGAATGTAGTCCATCCATAGTCAGGATGGCAGCGCCAAAGGCCAGCTGGGGGGCTTGGGGGAACCCTCCACCATCCCGTGGCTCAGTTCCAATGGGCTGTCTGCAAATGTTTCTAAAAGCTCGATGCCTGTGTTTGGGTCTCCCTTTCCTAAACACTGGACTCTATCGTGGTTCCTCATGACCAAGAAAAAGCTCTAGGAAAACAGCGAAGATGAGGGGCCCTTGGCCAAGGGGCCATGGCATATGTTTCTTGCTGCAAGGCTCCTTTTGGCTCAAGGTATTGATCAATGTTGGCATTCGATATGGTGCCTCTGTCTACATCCTTTATCAGTGACCTTGAGATAAGCCCTCAGCTGGAGCACGAGGCTACCTCTGGCCTCTCACTGTTATGGTTCCAGACCCTTGTCATCTCTTTCCTGAGCTGTAGAACCGGTCTTTGTGCTGTTGAGGGGAGATGTCATCTTAAAACCTAGTTAGGATCACCCCTCCTCAAACACTATCAAAAGCTGTCCTTGAATGAGATCTTGCCATTTGCAACGACGTGGATGGAACTGGAGGGTATTATGTTGAGTGAAATAAGTCAAACAGAGAAAGACATGTATCATATGATCTCACTGATATGAGGAATTCTTAATCTCAGGAAACAAACTGAGGGTTGCTGGAGTGGGGGGTGGGGTGGGAGGGAATGGGTGACTGGGTGATAGACACTGGGGAGGGTATGTGCTCTGGTAAGCGCTGTGAATTGTGCAAGACTGTTGACTCTCAGATCTGTACCTCTGAAACAAATAATGCAATATATGTTAAGAAAAAAAAAAAGAAGAAGAAGAAGGTAGCAGGAGGGGAAGAATGAAGCGGGGAAAATCGGAGGGGTAGACGAACCATGAGAGACGATGGACTCTGAAAAACAAACTGAGGGTTCTAGAGGGGAGGGGGGTGGGAGGATGGGTTAGCCTGGTGGTGGGTATTGAGGAGGGCACATTCTGCATGGAGCACTGGGTGTTATGCACAAACAATGAATCGTGGAACACTACATCTAAAACTAATGATGTAATGTATGGGGATTAACATAAGAATAAAAAAAAAAAAGTTGTCCTTGAGCCCCCCCAGATACAGATCCAAGCACTTCCACGATCCAACCCCACACTCCCTTTCCAGACCTTTCTCTCCTCTCCTCTCACATCCTATGCTCTGGCCAAACCAGCTTACTCCTCCCTGCCCCCTCCCCAGTCCATCAGCAAGTCCTGCTGTGACCCCACCTCCTCCGTCCACCTCCTCCGTCCACCTTCCTCTCTTGGCTGTACAACTCCAACAGCCTCCAACAGAGCTCCCTGCTTCCATTTTTTTCCCCTCTCCAGTCCATGTCCACACATCTCCAGACTGATTGTTTAAAAAGTAAACAATGCTCACCCCTTCCTTAAAACCCTCCGTAGCAGGGGGCGTTCCACCACACTGACAGTAAAATGCAAGCTCTTCCCGATGGCCTACAGGGTCCACCTTGACCCGGCCCTGCCTACCTCTCCCATCTGCTCTTGTACTACTGTCCTCCTTGCTACTAGAACCACATGTGTTTGCATTCTCTTCTTAGCGCTTGCTGTATCCTCAGCCTGGATGAGACGTTTTTCCTCCTGCTCTGCCCCTGCCTAGCTCCTCACCCCCCAGTCTTAGCTCAAATACTACCTCCCAGCAAGGCCTTCCCCCAACACCTTACCTAAAGCAGGACCACAGCCATTTGGCGCAGCTCATACCGCTGTCTGAAATTATCTTGTTTATTCGTGTGTTGTTTATTTGCTCTCCCCATGAGAATCTATGCTTCCCGCGGGACCTTGACTAACCTGTTCACTGCTGCATCATCAGCACCCAGGACAGTGCCTGGCACACAAGAGATTCTAAATCATTATTTGTGATAAATGATTGATTACAGGAAATAATAAACATTTCCTGAAAGGCCTTCATTATCTCCAGCCTCCACCCCTTGGGCTGTGCTACTTCCTTGCCCTTGCCTCCTTCTTCCCCTCCATCACCAAGTGCTGACATTTGTAGTAAGGCAAACTCAAAGGGCTCTCTCCCCTGAAGGTCTTCCCTGGCCCCTCTAGACATAAATAACTCCTGCTGCTTCTGACAGCCTACCTCTGCCCTATATTCCAAGGCCACCTACTTCAAATGACTTTATTCTTTGTTCCTGGAAATTCTTGCCTAGAAAGATAAGGCTATAAATCAGAAAAATCACAGTTGGCTCCAGGAACTTCCTGAAATCAACTCAAACAATAGACAGCTCAAATACCTGTCCTCAGAAAAATGCTTTACCCAACTAGGCAATGATTCACCTATCAAAGCAAGAGTTCTATACTGTGTTCACAACCCCTGTGGACATCAATGTCAAGAATTTTGCCCAATCCCAATCAATTCCTTGCATGGAAACAGCATCTTAAATCATTCATTCGAGTCCCAACCCACCAAACCCTATAACATCTGGAAGGTTCAGAGGAGAGGCCTGCTGTAAAGCTGAGATGAATAGGTTATTCTGGTGGCCTTTTAAGGGATTTAGCAGGTGACAGTGCATAGTGTCTAGTACCAAGTCTTCTTTTTTTTTAAATTAACATATAATGTATTATTTGTTTCAGGGATACGGGTCTGTGCTTCATCAGTCTTACACAATTTACAGTGCTCACCATAGCACATACCCTCCCCAATGTCCATCACCCAGCCACCCCATCCCCCCACCCCCCTCCTCTCCAGCAACCCTCAGTTTGTTTCCTGAGATTAAGAGTCTCTTATGGTTTGTCTCCCCCTCTGGTT